GTGGTCCCAGCTACTTGGGAGGCTGAGGCAGGAGCCTTGCTTGAGCCCAGGAGTTGGAGGTTGCTGTGAGCTGTGATGCCACTGCACTCTACCCAGGGGGATAGCTTGAGGCTCTGTCTCAAAAAGAAAAAAAAAAGAAGAAATAGCACTGGTTTCAAGCTCATCTTTCTTCCCCTATTCTTTTTCTTTTCTTTCTTTTTTTTTTTTTTTGAGATAGATTCTCACTCTGTAGTCCTGGGTACAGTGCCATGGCATCATCATAACTCATAGTAACCTCAAACTCTTGAGCTGAAGTGATCCTCTTGCCTGTTTATTTTTTTAGTAGAGGTGGGATCTCACTCTTGCTCAGGCTTGTCTCAAGCACCTGAGCTCAAGTGGTCTGATGGACTCATCCTTCTGGAGTGCTAGGATTACAGGCATGAGCCACCACGCCCGGCCCAGGAGCAGATTATGGCCCAGGCTCATAATCCCAGCACTTGGGAAAGCAGAGGTGGGAGGATCACTTTAAGGACAGGAGTTAAAGACTAGCCTAGGCAATATAGGAAGATCCTGTTTCTACAAAAAGAATTAATTAAAAGTGTAATAGAATAAATGTTTAAGGCTAAAAAACAAAGACATGCCCTCATTTCTGAGGAATAGTTTTTTGGGGAAAAGTATGTCACTTTAGATTTAAGAGTGTTTAATACTTTATTGGACGTAATTAGTTAGGTAAGTGGGGGAAAATTGAAAGGGGTATAAAAGAACAAAGCAGTTTGAATGTCTTCTAGCTATGTTATACTGAACTTTTGGAAACTACTTTTATTTATTTGCTTTTCTTCTTTTCTCTGTAGGTCTATGTTTGCAATGCGTGCCAAAATGTTTTCTGTGTGGACTGTGATGTTTTTGTTCATGATTCTCTACACTGTTGTCCTGGCTGTATTCATAAGATTCCAGGTCCTTCAGGTATTTGATTCCTGCATGTAGTAGACATGGCACATGTTAAAAAAAAAGTTGGAACTGTAAACAAAATGATTCTTTAGAAGCTCCATTTAAAAGGTAAATAATAATTTAAGAAACTTTTGCTGGCTTGGTGCCCGTACTACAGTGGTTATGACACCAGCCACATACACTGAGGCTAGTGGTTTCAAAATAGGCCCAGTCCTGCCAAACAACAACAACAAAAATAGCCGGGCGTTGTGGCGGGCGCCTGTAGTCCCAGCTACTTGGGAGGCTGAGGAAGAAAATCTCTTAAACCTAGGAGTTTGAGTTTGCTGTGAGCTGTTATGCCATGGCACTCTATCCAGGACGACATAGTGAGACTCTGTCTCAAAGAAAAACAAAAAGAAAGAAACTTTTTGCTAAGAAAATGTTGTATTTTATTAAGTGTTTTATTTGTATCCTATCACAGAAATGCCTGGAATTGTATAATACTTGATACACTTTTGTTTTTTATGAGTTATGTTTTCAAAGTCATTATGCATTATTATGTATAAATTACTATAATGATTAAATTGATGTGGTAATTTTATTGTTTTATAATTAAAATAAATATAGAATCTTTATGATTTATTTTCATCAGTTTTATATAAGAAGAAAATTAAGTATAAATATGAATTCAGTATAAGATGAAAATAATTATGAAATTAATACATATTAATACATACAAAATGTATATTACTATATCCATCAGAGGGGTCTTTTTAGGTTTAAATATGTGGACTATAAAAATAAAGTTAATACATCTGAAATTATTTGTGGCCGAGGGGTCTTTTTAAGTTAAACATTTAAACTCCTAAGACTGTCCTGGCCATGCTTAATTTTTTTATTTTTTATTTTTATTTATTTATTTATTTATTTGAGACAGAGCCTCAAGCTGTTCCCCTGGGTAGAGTACCGTGGCATCACAGCTCACAGCAACCTCTAACTCCTGGGCTTAAGCAAGTCTGCCTCTGCCTCCCAAGAAGCTGGGACCACAGGCGCCTGCCACAACGCCCAGCTATTTTTTGGTTGCAGCCATTGTTGTTTTGGCGGGCCCAGGCTGGATTCAAACCCACCACCTTAGGTGTATGTGGCTGGTGCCTTAGCCACTTGAGCCATAGGCGCCGAGCCCGTGCCCAATTTTTTTAGAGGTGGAGTCTTGCTCTGTTGCCCAGGGCTGGAGTGCTGTGGAATGATCATAGCTCACTGCCACCTCAGAATTCCTGTCCTCAAATGATCCTCTTACCCTAGCTTTCTGAATAGCTAGGGCTATAGGAGTGTACCACCACACCTGGCTAATATTTTTATTTTTTGTAGAGGTAAGCTTCTTATCATGTTGCCCAGGCTATTCTCAAACTCCTGGCCTCAAGTGATCTCCTCCTGTCTTAACCTCCTAAAGTGCTGGGATTACAAACATGAGCCACTGTACCAGGCCCCAATATCTCTTTTAACACTTCCATAAACACAATTTCTAGGGTTCCCACAAAGGATGTGTCTATTTCAAAAGTCACCATGGGCCAGACACAGTGGATCACTACTGTAATTTCAGCAGTCTGGGAGGCTGAGTCAGATGGGTTGCCTGAGCTCACAAGTTCAAGGTCTGAGCTAGAGCAAAACCCTGTCTCTAAAAATAGCCAGGCATTTTGGTGGGCGCCTATAGTCCTAGCTACTGGGGAAGTGGAGGCAAGAGAATTGGTTGAGCCTGGGAGTTTGAGGTTGCTGTGAACTATGACGCCATGGCACTCTATGGGGGTGACAAAGTGAGACTCTGTCTCAAAAAAAAGTCACCATACTCAGAAAGCCTGAAGTATGAGGTCTCCATCAAATTACTTATCTATTTATTTGGGCTTTTTTAGAAGACAGGGTCTTGCTCTGTTGCCCAGGCTGCTGGAGTGCTTGCTCCAACCTCAAACTCCTGGGCTCAAGCAATTGTCCTTCCTTAGTGTCTCAAATAGCTAGGACTATAGGTGTGTACCACCACACTTGCTAATTTAAAAAAAAAGTTTTTAGAGATGGGGTCTTGCTCTGTTGCCAAGGCTGTTCTTGAACTCTTGGCCTCAAACTATCCTGCCTTGCCTTCCCAAGGTACTGGAATTATAAGCATAAGCCACCATGCCCAGCCTGTCCTATCAGTTTATTTATAGTGTTTCCCAATCCAGATATAGTTTAACAATCTAGTACCGTTTTTCTATATTTATTTACTTTATTTATTCATTTATTTTAGAGAGAGTGCTGTGGCATCAACAGCTCACAGCAACCTCCAGCTCCTGGGCTTAGGTGATTCTCTTGCCACAGCTTCCTGAGTAGCTGGGACTCCAGGTGCCCACCACAACACCCAGCTAATTTTTTGTTGTTGTTGTAGTTTAGCTGGGGCCAGGTTCAAACCCAACACCCTTGGTATATGGGTCCGGTGCCCTACTCACTGAACCACAGGCGCCCCCCTAATTAATTATTTATTTATTTATTCTTGAGACAGAGCCTCAAGCTGTCCCCCTGGGTAGAGTGCTATGGCATCACAGCTCACTGCAACCTCCAACTCCTGGGCTCAAGCGAGTCTCTTGCCTCAGCCTCCCAAGTAGCTGGGACCACAGGCACCCGCCACAACGCCTGGCTATTTTTTGGTTGCAGCCATCATTGTTGTTTTTGGCGGGCCTGGGCTGGATTCGAACCCACCACCTTAGGTGTATGTGGCTGGTGCTTTAGGCACTTGAGCCACAGGCGCCAAGCCTAATTATTTATTTTTAAGAAAGAATTAAGCCTTTATTCTTGCTTTTATGATAAGCTAGTTTTTTTTTCTTTTCTTTCTTTCTTTTTTTTTTTTTTTGATACAGAGTCTTTCTTTGTCGCCCTCTGTAGAGTGCTGTGCTGTCATCATAATTCACAGCAACCTCAAACTGTTGGGTTCAAGCGATTCTCTTGCTTTAGCCTCCTGAGTAGCTGGAACTACAGGTGTCCACCACAAGGCCTGGCTATTTTAGAGACAGGGTCTTGCTCAGGCTGATCTAGAACTACTTAGCCCAAGCAATCCACCCACCTTGGCCAGAGTGCTAGGATTACAGGCCTGAGTGACTGCCCCCGGTCTAGTGTTTGTGTATTTAATGTGTGGCCAAGACAACTCATTTTTCCTATGTGTGGCAGGAAAAAAAAAATACTGGACATCCTTGCTTTAAAGCTTACTCTGTAGTAACTGGTGTAGTATTTTACTTAATGGAGTATGTGTAATAGCAACATTTTGGTTATTTGATATGTGAGACTGATTTGTCTTATAATTTAGATTAATGTAGCCAAAAATTGTGGTGTCTATTCCTATTGGCCTCACTGAGTTCCATAGTTACAGACTATTTAACTTGAACTTCAATTTTCTCACCCTGGGTCATCAGAGAAATTCAGGTGAGAACGTATGATGAAGTCTATGTTTTAGGTTCAATGCAGATACACCATCATAGGCAGAACTCTTTCTGGGTATACCCTGTTGAGAATAAAATGGCTTTAATAGCAAAAGTGTGTGGGAACTGTAAATTGGGGGTTCTTGGGTGGTCAGAAGAAGAATTGAAAGACATACTATCATACTATCAACAAACAGTAAACATTAAAACAGATAGAGTGGGCCAGAATAAGCTCCTGGCTAGGACTGCTGCCTGTTACAAGAACCACTGCTGTTAGGAAAAAGTAGAGAAAAGCCTTGGTTGCCCGCTACCTGGCTGCTGACCACCTGCCTTCCAGGAAGCAGTCTTTAACACACACCCAGGACTACCCCGGCCAGAATCTTTAAATTGGAATCTCTCTTCTGAGTGGAGGGTACAACTAGGATGAAATAGAAGAAGACACACACTATGTCAAGACTCTCAGAGTTTATAGAAAGACACAGAAAAGATCTACAAAGTCAAGACCAAGCTCAAGAGTACACAGGGTGGCGGAAATGGCTTACCACCCCTTGCTCAGACTCCTACTTCTGATACAGTCTATAAACTACATTCATCTATTGTGACATCCTTTTTTTACTCTTTATTTTTTTTTCATTGCTCCCTGTGGGGTGGTCAGTACTGGCACCATCTGACCTGTGGTTCTGCCTGTCTTTAGCTAAGTTCCTCCCTATGTTGAAATACCAATTCTTTCCTGCTCCACTGCTCTATACTTTGTTCTGTTAATTTTTAACTGTTTCCTTCAGGGCTACTTCCTCCTCTTCAAAGATCCCTTTTTAATAGCAAAAGTACGTCTGTCTTGTATCTCTAAATTTGAGTCCCTCTAGATCATTTTGCTATAAAATTTGTGATTTTATAAATCAGAATTCTCAGTGAAGAGCATTATGACTAAAGTCCATGTAATCCTACCTTGGAGAGTATTCAGTAATCTTGAGGGGTGCTCAGGAATATGCATTTTTTTTTGAGACAGAGCCTCAAGCTATCCCCCTGGGTAGAGTGCTGTGGCATCACAGCTCACAGCAACCTCTAACTCTTGGGCTCAAGCAA